CGCGTTTGAATCATCAGTGGCAAATCCTTTAAATGAAAACGTACTTACAGTCTGTGAGTCAGAACAGCCGGCATTGTAGTCTACTCTACCAGGATCAGGAAACAGTCGTCCATAAAATGCGCTGCACACATCTGAATATTTGGGTTGAACTGTTCTGGAACAGTGTTGTAAATACAACTTAACCACTGATTTCTAGTTGTGTCCTCTTTTGGAAGGCCAAACAAAGTAGTTTCGCTTTCACAACGAAACACACAGTGTCACACACGGCGGGCTTAAGAACGGCTAGGCCGGCGGGCTAGAGTGAGGAACGGATTCGAAAAAGGAGCGTCCAGCGGGCTTGCGGCAGCCACGTGACGACCCCGGGCTGGACAAAGTAGTTTCAAAAATTGAAATCGCATCATATGACCCCTTTAATGTAGCTTAACTATTCACACAGCAAGAGTGACCGTTAGCTGCTACGATTTCAAAGTAGCTTCCTAGACACACTAAAGCATTAACTGTTTCTCTCTCTCCCTGTCCCTGCCTTAAATGAAGCTGAAAGTGTGTATGTCAATCTAAATTGTGTTGGGAGCATGTGTGAGTGTATTAATTACCTCGTCCTGCTGCAGGGGCCAGGCATTAATAGGTGCCCGTGACAGGGACTGCTATTACCCTACGACGCCACGACAGCTTATATTAATATTGGACATTTGTCAACTTACCCTTCGTGCCACTGTGATGGATGACGCGCAACTCTGAAGGCTAATACCCACCGTCTCTATTTGAGAGATTGTGTGTGTGTGTGTGTGTGTGTGTGTGCGCACACTGCTACACAGAATGTAAGGTAAGGTTTTGAAAGTTTTTCATATTATGTTTAAAATATAGACTACATGTTTACAGGAAGTACCTTTGGTGGAGCAAACAGTCACATGATCGAGGTGTTTGTGTCTATTATATGTGTTTGAGGTAACTTATTAGGTCCAAATAGAATCTGAGTGCTATTTTTGCATTGTTGCTGTGGCTTTTGGAGGGAAATCTGGAATGAATTTAAAGGGAAAGTTCAAAAAAACAAAAAAAACAAACGTATATTCCCTCATGTTGCTTCAAACCCAATTCATTTTGTTTCTTTTGTGGAAAACAAAAA